TAATACCGTTCTATATTGTACTGGATCCTCCGTCCGACTGTTGAAAACCTACAACTTTCTTCTAGTGCACTTCAAGATGCTCTTGTCAAATGTAAGCAAATACTAAATGCAAGCAACAGAGTTTATGCTTTTTTTCTAGAGCAAAAGATATTGATTGAAACAGTCTGCATCTATCCACACTGAATGGTAGCAATATTGAGAGACTATGAATATTTAAGTATTTGGCTTGATGAATCATTTACATTTAAACGTCATAAAAATAAAAATAAAACTGCCGCAAAAACAGATTTTTGTACAGAAACTGATCCAGCTTCTCTTTAAATAGTACAAAAACTACAGTTGAGGCAGTCTATCAGTCCTGGATTATTGTGATATAATCTACAGACACACTGCTGTTTCCACTTTCAAATCCCTAGACTCAGTTTATCATTCTGCCCTCAGATTCATTACCAGAGGTCCCTGTGTCATCTACCATTGCACTCTGTATAATAAAGTTGGTTGGTCCTCCATGACACAAAACCGTGACAAGCACTTGTATCTTTTCATCCATAAAGGCCTTATTGGACATTTGCCATCCTATATAACATCTATTCTGCACTGTACCACAGGACCCTATCAAACTCGCTCTACTAACTGTGTCATGCTTCAAGTCCTGCAGGTTTATTCTGAACTTGGAAAATCTGCCTTCAGCTTTTGTGCATCAAACACATGGAATTATCTACAACATATTCTCAAAAGTGACACTCTCACTACCCCTGGACAACTTAAGGACGATGATCTCAAATCACTTCACATCAGTGTGCAATTGTTTATATATTAATATATTAATATAATATTGTCCTCCTTTGAATTATTATTACTATTATACATTTAATTTGATTTGATTGGTTTATTTTATTATTATTTTAACTCTGAATATTAAGTAGATCCATTTACTATAAATGTGCATTTTCGATAGATAGATAGATAGATAGATAGATAGATAGATAGATAGATAGATAGATAGATACTTTATTTATCCCGAGGGAAATTCAAGTATCCAGTAGCATACAAAATACTAAAACATACATTAAAAATAAAATAAAATATAAAATATTATATATATATATTATATATATATATATTATATAACAGTAGCTACAGTAAACAGTGCAAACAGTAAACAGTGCAAATGGAAGTAAATCAGTGCAAATGGAGGTAGAAATTGTCCATTGTCTATTGTCCTCAGTGTTAATTTCGTTGACGAAGACTGACGAAAAATATTCGTCAACGAACCTTTTTCACTGACGAAAACTAAAATAAAAACTAAATAGAAAGTCAGATATGATGACGAAGACTGTGACGAAATATAACTGACATTTAAGTCAGCGAATAAAAATGAGACGAAAATGTTAGGGAGGGACGAATGGAGAAGAGATCCAATCAGAACTACAATTCTTGTGGGACAAGTTGGGAAGAAATCCAATCAGAGCAAATCTTTGAGGGTAGGTTGATCTATGCAGAAGCAGCAGAGGCATTTTAAAAAAAAAAAAATACAACTTAAAAGCTTCGGCAACTCTTTTAGTTTGTTTAGTTGCAAATGCAGAGCTTTGGCTGATCAGTTGAAAAAAATTGACATCTGGTCACACTTCACATATGACAACAAGGACAACAAGACCGTCTGTAAACCGTGTGGAGCAAAAATCACTGGGAAAAACACCACCAACTTGAAGTGACATTTACAGACGAGTCATCCAGAAATACACGCGGAAGTTATTTTATCAGATAAACCACCGTGATTTAGTCGACTAAAATCTGCTAATATTTGGTCTACTAAAACTAGACTAAGACTAAAAGATTTCAGATGACTAAAATATGACTAAAACTAAATGGTGTGTTATTCAAAAGACTAAGACTAAGACTAAATCAGAATTTGCTGTCAAAATGAACACTGATTGTCCTCCCTGCCTTTTGTGTTTTTGTACATTTTTGAGTCTGTTGGTGGAGCTGGACTGGGACAGCAGTCTGCCACTGAACACACTCCTCTGCCTGGTGAAGGTGTTGTGCAGAGGGTGGTGGGTGTTGTCCAGTATGGACAGCAGTTTGTCCAGGGTCCTTCTCTCTGCCACTGTCACCAGAGAGTCCAGCTCTGTGCCCGCCACTGAGCCAGCTCTCCTCACCAGTCTGTCCAGTCGACCGGTGTCTCTCTTCTTGCTGCTTCCTCCCCAGCAAACCACGGCATAAAAGAGGACGCTGGCCACCACAGACTGGTAAAACATCTGCAGCAGTTTTTTGCAGATGTTGAAGGACCCCAGCCTTCTCAGGAAGTACAGACGGCTCTGCCCTTTCCTGTGTAAAGTGTCCATGTTTGCTGTCCAGTCCAGCCTGTCGTCCAGCTGCAGCCCCAGATATTTATAGGTCCTGACCACCTCCACATCGACCCCCTCGATGGACACGGGTTGGAGATGTGGTTTCTTCCTTCTGAAGTCCACCACCATCTCCTTGGTCTTGGAGGTGTTCAGCTGCAGATGGTTTGACCTGCACCACCTCAGATGTATAACAGGCGTTCCTGTAGAAAAGGGTAAATCAACATTGAGTCACAGAGCAGGTTCTGTGGGCTGATAAACCATGTTAGCTGCATACTAATTAGGGATGTCACAGCAGGTCTTCAGCCTTTGACATCTGATGAACGCTGTGCAATGACATCACTATGGCCAGAAGAGCAACATGAATGAAAACATGAATTAAATGGACATATAATAGATCCTGAGCACCCTACATCCATGTTCACAGCCACCTGCTTTGCTGGAGAAGCTACTGATAGTTGTTGCTATGGATACAATTCAACACTATAATTGCCTCATCTTGTGCCATTTAATTACATGATCTAGTCCTATACCTTGACTCGATGTAGGTGGTGTGGTATGTGGCATATGTATACCGTATATACATATATAAATGATGACCTGAAGTAATATCAGTATACTGGGGCTTTAGAAAGTATTAAGACCCTCTCCATTTCGCACACTTTGTTGTACTATTACTAATATCAACTTTTATATGGATTAGAATTACATTCTCAGCAATTAAAATGTATTTAATTTTGGAAATGAGTGGGATTGGGAGTCTATATACTTAATACATTTAGAGATGAATTTTTTTTACTACCTCCAGTCAAAAATCTGTCCCTACAGTGTGCTGTTTGAATGCTGTCTGTGCAGAGTTTGACACTAAGGATGTTTTCACATTCATCTGCTGAAAGTGGAAAATTTGTCTGTGCTGATTGAAAGTTGGATTTTAAATGGCGGGGCCTCCCAGCATGATTTGTGATTTGTATATAGTATGGAAGTCAATCCTGGTTCAGTATGCAACATATACAAGTGTGATGTAGAAACTTGAAGCCACCAACGCACATCCACTGAGTATGGGTTAATGAGGTAGAAGGAGTAGATGTTAAGTGTTTTAATGTGAAAATTATATTTTTTATTTATATTTTTTTGCAGAAAAAACATATCAGACACACATTATTGTTCCACGCATACTATTTTTATATATTTCTGGAGGGGATCTTTAAGTTAATTTGCAAAAAAAATGTGTTTTTGTCATTATGCGTGTTTGTATGTGGAATGAACTCTATACGTACTTTCCACCCTCTCATTAGTAGATGCTCTCTGCTCTGTTAGGAGGAAAAACAAATAGTAAAAGGTAAGCGCTGCTCAAGCGAGTTAAATGCAATATAAATGTGCCACTAATGGCTGTCCATCTGATGTAACACCATGTCATAAGTGAATAACCTACCTTGGATGTTAGATACTGAGTGTATCACTGATACTGTCAGTGTATCTTGGAGTCTGTAGGGCAACATACTAAACAGAAACTCAGTCTGGTGGCTTAAATAAAATTCTGACATTCGTTTTCTCTGTTGAGTCAAATTCAGAGTGACAAGGAAAAAGAGAACTGATGAATAAATAGGTGGTGGAGAAAGATACAGAACAGTCTGTAACTGTTTCTCTCTAAAGGCAAAAGAAAGAGAGAAACAAGCCCATATCTAATGTATGCTTTTTTTTGTGAGCACTAGTTACATCCTACCTATCTGATCTGCAACCAGTAACAAGTATATGGTCAGTTGATCTGTCAGCTTCTGGGTTTCAAAGAATGTTACTTAGATTTGACATAGTCCAAACCAGAGCTCTGAATCACTGCCCACATCTCTGATTTGTTTAGCAATTCAAGTAGGTCTGGTGCTCTGCCCATTGATGGCTGGTTAGAGAAACAATCAACCAAGCAGAGCGTAGTGGGAGGGGTTGAGAATGGGGATGTCATCTTCCTACACAGTTAGCTGGGAGCAGTAGTAGTAGTAGTAGTAGCAGAAGTAGTCTCTGTTGTGTATCATATGCATCAAATCAAATTTACTGAAGTTGAAACATACATATAAGAAAAATCCAAACAAAGTGGTTTCCTTGTCAAAGGTCTGGTTGATAATTTGTCTGCTAAAGATACATAAATGCCCCCCTTTTTCTGAATGTCTTCCTGGATTCCCCTCAGACTATGAATCAAACAGAAGTGGATGTTTTAAACATGGCAGACACAAAGTAAAGTAAGAAACCCAATAAAGCTTGAGATAACATGTTGTTATCAACCTTTTCTTTCTGCCTCTGAATAGTTACAAAGCATGATGAAAAGAAAAAATGGACATGCCTGTAAATATGAATTCATAATTGGCCAAATCACTGTTGGTCTTCAGTGATTATTCTTTGGTTGTGAAGGCTCTTCTGAATTTCCGTGCATCTATGTTGCATTTTAGCACCTCATCATCATAAATGTTTCATATATTTGGATACTTCATGGGAGTAATTCATTTTTTCTTCAACTTTTGCCTACAGTGAGGAAATGTAATAGTTTTTCCGTCTCATTTAGCATTCTGAATAAACACATTCTGTCCACCCTGGGGAGCCAGGGTGGTCTGTGCCAACGTTTTTCACTGGAAAAGCTGAGTCCCTCGCTCTCTCTTCTGTCTCTAGATGTATCGGTGAGCCTGTTGTCCCTGCTGGTGACCACCTGTGGTCTGGCTCTCTTCAGCGTCTCCCTCTTTGTCTCATGGAAGCTGTGCTGGGTGCCACTGAGTGGCCGTTTCCTCCCAGATGTCCTCAAGGGGGCGCACTTCCTGGGAGGAGACCAACAGCCTGTCCTCACAGAGGTAAGGAGGAGAGGAAGCAACATTTAGTCTGCCTGATGACTCTCTTATATTTTCTTTTATTTTTTCAAATATTTTTCTTTCCATTTTGCCATTTATTAGTTAGTTTACACACCTTGATATTTCTAATCATTATAATGTGACTTCTACTGAGGATATACAAAATGAAATTAAACCACACAAATTAGTCTGTATTGTATTCCTAATGGATGCTGTGCCAGCTACAATACACACTAATTCAGCACTAGTTTCCTCCTGATCCTGCCACACAGGGGACAGAAGACAAAAAAGTGTGCCACATTCTTGTACGCATGCAGGTCAGTTCAGGACTGAGACCAGTTCACACTGGAATCTGATATTGGACACATAATGAAAGTGAACAACCAAAAAAAGAAATCTGAGCAATAAATCCGAATTAAGCTCTAAGGCTTACAGTGAGAGTGACATTGATCTTCTAATTCTCTGCAGTTAAGAAAAAAAGCCTGTTTCCCAATGTTGAACTACTCTTTGAGTAATGTTACATCTGACCCATAATAACTATATAGTAGTTACTGTTCACAGTTTGTTTCCTAGAATGGAGTTGCACAACACAGAACTGTTATCCTGGATGTTTGGCTGTGGTGCTACAGGAACAAGCCTGCAGCATAAAATGTTTCATATATGAGTACATTTCAAATCTCTTCTTTAATTTAAGATGATAAAAGAAAAGGGAGTGTGTTAAGTATTAAAAAGCTGGTGCATAGACAATGCCTGCCCTTGTGGACCAAATTTAGATTACCGTGACAGTGAAAAGTGCCTTTAATCCATGTCACAACTTCAAAACATACATGTTGTACATGTAACAACGTCACAAATGTTAATGTAATAAGTATAATGATGTTAGCTTCTACTTGATATATTAACTACCTTGCATATTAGATGTGCCTGCAACAGCACATGATAACTAACCAGAAAAGGTAGCTTTCAAGCTTATATTCATATTGTATTTATATAGTAATGAGTATATCAGTGGCCAGATGATAAGCTGCCAAACAATACTCAGACGTGACATTATTAAGTTCTTGTTTTGACAGCTCAGTTTCGTGTTCAGCCTAAGTACTTTTCAGTATGGCAACCAGAGAGTCAGACTGTTAACCAAACAACTCTCCTAAATAAAGATGAACTGCTTTAACAAAGCATTGCATTACTTTTGATTAAAAGTACACCAATTTTCTATCACTACAAATCGTCAAGGCCCCCAACCTAATTTATCCTTCCCACATTAGCAATACTACAGAAGGATTCACTGACACTGTAAACACTGATGTCTGCTGTGCAGGTGGACGGGGAGGAAAGGGAGTACAGCGAAGATGGCTGTGTGAAAGAGCCTTCCGGGCTCCCCTCAGCTGTGGCTGTCCCAGAGTCAGCCCTAAAGATAAGCCATACCTCGCCTGACATCCCACTGGAGACCCAGACCAAGGTGGAGAAAAACCAGGTCCACACTCTGGCCAGGGACAGGGTCCAGAGACAGATTACTGAGCCTACCTCATCTGTACGGTCAGTACACATCAATCCCTGAAGCTACTGTCCAACTTTAGGTGTTGGCAGGTTAAACATAGATGGACACACACAGTTAGACAGTTAGACTAACCCTAGACCTCAGGGCTCAGAGATACTCTATCACAATGTTGACTGCATATAAAACATCAGGGTTAAGGGAACACAGTAGCTCTAGCAGTTGCCTTACAGCAACAAAGACAAAGAATATGTGCTCAATGAAAGTGGTTTGAATGATCTTATATAGCCACATTTTACACTTTGTTACAGGCACAACTCCATCCGTCGTCAGATGAACTTGTCCAATCCGGACTTCAACCCTGCTCAGTTCCAGCGTCAGGAGTCTCTGTCTGGTTTGGGCCGAATCAAACCAGAACTCTACAAGCAGCGCTCTGTGGACGCAGAAGACGCTCGTCGCACCGATAGCTGCGGGCGTCTCCACTTCGTCCTGAAGTTTGACTTTGACCTTGAGCAGCTGATTGTGAAGATCCACAAGGCCCAGGACCTTCCCGCCAAGGACTTCTCAGGGACCTCCGATCCTTATGTCAAGATCTACCTGCTACCTGACCGCAAAACCAAGCACCAGACCAAGGTGCACCGCAAGACACTCAACCCTGTGTTTGATGAGGTGTTCCTCTTCCCTGTGGCGTACACCGAGCTGTCGAGCCGTAAGCTACACTTCAGTGTCTACGACTTTGACAGGTTCTCTCGCCATGATTTGATTGGCCAAGTGGTGGTGGACAACTTCTTGGATCTTGCCGACTTTCCTCGGGAGACTAAACTGTGCCGGGACATACAATATGTAACCTCGGTGAGATACCAACTTTTATTCATCTTTCAAAATTCTATCACTATCTGACTTTGTCTTCTTCTTTTCACCACTGATATATCATTTCTAAGTATAGCTTTGCATTTGTTAGTCAGCAGCACCATGGTAGGTTGTTCGTAGCTACCAACTGACCAGAATGTTGCAGCATGTTTGTGGTTGGATACATTTGAAAGTCTGTCAGACCAGTAGTATCCATACCAGCCTAAATCCCATGTATTTTCCTCAGTCCAGCCAGAATCTGCTTGAACAACCAAAAAAGAGCAAAAAACCCTGTTACAACAGCAGAGGGAAGTAGATATGTTAATGGACGTATCTCATTTCCCCTCCAAGTGGAACTCATCTGTGGTTTCAAGAGGCAGATACATAGAAATATACTTAGACACACTTAATGTTTAATGAAAGCAGTGGGAAACACTTGGGGGTAGTGACCCAGATCTACACTGACATAAGACTGGGGTTGATTTGACAGAGATACAGCGACACTGTCTATATTACATTATTCACTCAGATAAATCGACAGCGTTGGTACACTGAGTAACTCAGGAAGGAAGTCAGATCCTCCTGCCAGGGAATTCCTCATGGCTCGCCTGTCTTGTTGAGTGAGGATTGCAGTCTGGTTTATGGGCAAACAGTGTAAGTGGACAGTATACAGTGCTTCTCAGCATCATTGCATAGGCTATAATCAGTTAATGGAATGAGAATGACACTATATTTAAAATGTATAGTTTATGGGTACTATGTGCAAGATTTCACCCTTAATACATAACTCATCAACACTTTCAGCTATAAAACAGGACTAGACTGGGATAAAAACCTAGGCTAGGATTAACGGAAACTACTCTGTACATTCGGACCAGAGAATTCACATTGTAACTATTTTGTCAACAGTACACAGTGACAGTCTTTTATAAAGCTTGCACACACTGAAATAGAACATAAATAGATATCATCAGCAGTGTACTGGTTTGTGGAATGCAGGTACACAGTGTATGCACACCTCTGGGCAGGGGTATTTACCAACCTAAAACTAGCTAGAGATATCAATCAGAGGTAGAAATCACAAATCCCTTCACTGATTAAATCCCCTTCAGTCTGCTAGTCCAAGCTGTCATGTTTAGTTCAGTACATAACTAGCAAAAGCACTGAACCACGATCCTGAAACATGTTTTTACGCTTCAGGTCTGTCGTATGGCTAAACTGCAGTCCATTCTCTTGCTGTTATTTTTTAAATGCATAATGAGTACGATTTGTCAGTTGCTTTTTGTTAAGACATGATTCAAAGTTGCCAGCGCAACAAGCTAGAGAGAGAGAGAGAGAGAGAGAGAGAGAGAGAGAGAGAGCAGCGGCGGTCAATTAAGCTTGAGAGTGAATGAAGAGAGGGAGCGGTGTTACCCTGTGGGTAGGTGCCACATTGCTGGATTTAGTGTCAATGCAGCTGTGCATACAGAAGCACACACACGGAAGGACCAGCAACTGAGTGTAGCAGGAAAGAGAATGAGACAGCATTGTAACTTGGTAGCTAAGTTTTTACAGACTTCCAACTTCACACCCCGCACACTGCCCAAAGGTTGATGCCCACAAACTTCCTGAACACAGCAAAAATAGTAAGAAAATACAGGCAGAGTGCAGGGTGTCTGCAGATACAGACACTGCCATTTCTAGTGGGTCAGAAGTGATGACTGAGAGGGACTGTTCAGATTTCAAGCTCTCCTAACCTGTTAGCAAATTTTCAGTGTTTTTGTATACATACCTACTAAGATACCCCTACCAAATCCAAGCATTGCTCCATTGTGTAGAGGACAAATTTTAGAACTTCAGTAGTGATACTTTGAATAGGTTCGGCAGAAATCATAACAAATGTTCACAATAACCTGTAATCTAGTCCATAATCAAATTTGTGGAGTTAAGCAGTTATGGAAGTAACAGCAGAGAGCTGATGGCACTGCTTCAAATAGATTTACCACAATCAAAACACCAGATGATTGCATCACTTAACGTCAGCAGAGAGCTTCATATTCACTTATGTTTCTCTTTAGCACTTTTAAGGTGTTCATTTTGTACCTGTAATTTCCTCAGAGCTCTTGGCTCTCTCGGAGAAATTAGAACTATTTCCACCTTGTGTCTACGTATTTGTGCAATTATGTGTTATTTTGTGCTAGTAATGTGATAGATATTTGATTACTTGTGTCTCATTCAATTATTACAAAATGTACTGAACATGACAAGACCTTTAGAAAGAACAGATGCTGAAGTCAGGCAGACAACAGATTTAAGGTTTAGTGGAATTTTGTGGCTATAACCAATTAACATTAAAAAAAACAAGGCCAACCCTCTCGACTGTTAATTTAATCATTTTCGTCTTTCTTTGTTGTACTGCTTGGACTGAGGAATGAAAACAGCTATATTTGTCTTGTCTTGATTTTTCATTTCAGTTGTTGTGATTGTGACTTGTTGTGGAAGTTGCATGTGCATTTAAATCTATAGGTAGAGTCTATAGGCTTTGTGGCTCTAGAGATGGCAATGCCAGTCACTCACTTTGGTCCACGCTGGATGCATTGCCATGACATTTGGTCATATCGACTTTCTTGATCTCCTATCTCCACCAGCAAGTTGACATTTTTCTAGTAAAATCTCTCAAAATTATAAGACAGCATAGACTGTAATGTGATTATAAGTTATTTTAACTCAAAGGAATTGCTGAAACGGATTACATACAAAATTTTAAGTAACACAAACTCAATTTTGTAAGTTACAGATTAAGCACCTATTTCTAGGTATTTTGCTTTCACAGTACAAATAAAAATGACAAAATTAAGTCAGTTTCACCTAAAATGACTAAAACTACAAGATGAAGAATGTTTTTGTCTCACAAAATTGAGGTGGGTTCTACATAAAATTTCCCATTTGATGAGTTTTAAAAAATGTTTTTGTTAAATGAACCTACCTGGTTTTACAGCATGACGGGCAAATTTGGTATGCCTCCTTAAGGCACTGCCACCACCAGGTCAAATTTCAGAAATTTTAATTTGTCCAATACTTTGGGGTTTATGACCAAATACCTGTAAAACTAATGACAATTCCATCGGCCTCAATGGTACTTTGTGTGTAATACTAATAAGCACAGGTCAGTCGACCATGGTCACCATTCACTCCATACCATCCACATGTTTATAATTGTAAGCATGTTTGCATGCTGATATTAGCATTTAGCAGTCACATTCACAGCACATTATTTAGATCAGAGTAGAAGCAAAGTCAGAAAAAACAACAACTTGAAATTGTGGTTCAGATATATATTTTTGACAGCTACAATAGCTCCCGCTTGGTGAAACTACAACAAACTGGCAGTAAAGTGACTGCAAACTTACCATTACTGGTAGCTACATCTAAATAAAATCAAATACTATCACTAATATAGGCTGTTATATGCTAAGAGTATGAGACTAGCAGTAGGAGTTAGTAACTCAGAATAATGGGAGGTTTCTTGCCATTCTGCCTATACATTTCGCAAATGTAGCACTAGGCTTGGATTTAATTAGATTATAAGACTGCATTTTTGTGTGTTTACTTTAGATCCCAGAGGATAAAGTTTTAAAGCTTCATTGGCATCACTTTTATGTCCAATTGTTCATCTTTTGCTATCAGCACTGGTACTACTACTGGAGGGTTAATGTGCTACTATAACAGAAATTATCACCAGCTCCCACTGGTATTAACGTACTGTGAATTAGCTTGTAGCTACTGTATCAGTTGTGCCTTTACAATATAAAGCTCGCTATAGCAGTTGGACACGAATCAATGCATCCTATGAAACATATATTATCATTTGTATGAGGTTATGTCACTTGCTTTTTGCTATGAAACCCATGAAAATTGTATCAAAGGACTAGAAATAAGGCATTTTAGAAAGAGTGTTTCAGGGACCTACCCTGGTGTCTGTTGTGTGGCTACTCAGCCTGATTTATTTATTTTATTTTATTTTTTTGGCAGAGACTTTGAAACTTACACTGACAACACAGCTGCTCCTCATCAAGTAATTAAGTTCAAAGCCAGAAATGATTGTAAGCTGGGTCCGCCAGTTCAGACCTGTTATTGCATTGCTAACTACAGCCATGCAAAGATCCGGTGGGATAATGCTCCAACCTCTTAACACACACACAAACACAAACACACACACACACACACACACACACACACACACACACACACACACACACACACACACACACTAAAATATTGTTTTAACACCTTCCAATAGCATTCCCAGCTAAATAAGGTCAGTATAAATGGGTTAGAACCTCCTCTGAGGCATCCAACTTGTGAACTATAGCTGTCCTGTTTCCTGTGTCCAAGCCTTAGGACTCCACTTTCTAAATATAATCCCTTATTAATCATCAATTTGCCCAACACACTACATACTACATACTATTTTAATATTGAGGATCTATTGGATACTTCCAAAGCAAGAAGGTTTCAATTCATGTAAAAAGGCATTTTCATTTACACCTTTTACTTTCCTTTACAACTACAAATTTGTTATTTTCTGTTATTTGTAACAGATTATGTTTATTACGAAGTTGAACATGTCCTCTGAGTAGACAGAGTAGAGAGAAGAGAGTCATTATTTGATTCTTCTCCCACAAGGGTTAGCTCAGATACACACACACACACACACACACACACACACACACACACACACACACACACACAGTCATGTTGTTGGTTAAACATTATTAAATTGTGGCCAAACCTTCCAATCTTCATTCCTGGGTACCCAAATTCCCCTCAGTCTTTCAGCCTGATACAATTACTTTTACTGGGAATATATAAAATAATAGTATGATAAATTGTTTGATGAAGCCATTTACGTGAAGTGATAATTACATAATGCTTAAACTAAGAGAAAATGGAGGGACATGGTTGGTTGTCCATAGGTTCTCTCTATGAGAGAATGAATGCAAAACCCCAAATAGAAAATCGGG